AATGAAGCAGAATTTAGTAACAAAGGACAGATGATTCAGAACATACCCACGCCTCCTGAGTGAGAAGGCAGAATCGTGGTCAGCCCCAGAGAGAGGCACAGCAGGAGCTGCTGAAGTGATGAGACTGGTGAGCTGTTAAGAAGTTCCTCCCTTGACCTAAACCAAAGCTGGCTTCAGTGTCTGAATCTGCCACTACAGCCCCTGTATGGGGTAAAACACTGAAAACCCTCTGAGAAAGTTCACTCATAAGGTAGCCAAAATGTTACACCTATTTCTCCTTCTTCCAAGTTGGAAGACTGAACACGCTCACTAATTAGTTTCTGGGGTGTTTTCTGACACCAGCCAATTCTCTGACACCAGCTGGTTGTCCATCAATTCAATTAAATGCTGACACTACCCAGAGTTAGCACAGACCCATTGCTTAAGGGTTCAGTCCCACAAGACTGCCTCCATTTCAGATGCCAGTTGCAAGTCTCCAGCCACTCTTACTTCTGACCAACCAGCTATAAATCGAGGGTTCTCACAACTTCCTCCTCAGGTTTGATAATTTGCTTGTGAACAGCTCACATAACTACTTTACTTACCTTTACTGGTTTATAAAAGATACAAATGAACAGCCAGATGCAGAGGTATATAGAGCAAAGTCTGGAAGGATCCTGGGCACTTCTGTCCCTGTACAGTTGGGATATACCACCTTCTCAGCAGGTTCACCAACTCAGAAGCTGCTCTGGATCTCACTGTTCAAGAGTTTTTACAGAGCTCAGTCTCTATGCAGAAAGTTTCCACCCTCTAATCACTTGGTCTTTTGGTAACCAGCCACATTCTGAGTCTACCTAGGGGTCTCATCCTAAGTCATCTCCCTAGAATACACTCAAGTGTGATCAAAAGGGGCTCACGAATAACAAAAGACACTGAGGCCATTAGAGTTTTGGAAGCTTTAGGCCAGGAATGGGACAAAGACCAAACATAGTTTTGATTTATATCACAATTGCTAATACCTGTTAAGTATTCCGTGCCAGGCACTGTTCTGAGAAACTTCTACACATCAACTCATTAAACCTCACAGCAAACCTTTGAGGTAGGTATGATCATCACTATCCCCATTTTCTAGGTGATAAAACTGAGGCTTAGAGGTAAGATCACTTGCCCAGGGTCATACGAGGACGTGGCAGAATCAGGATTTGCACCTTGGCAAAATTTCTTTACTTATACCATTTCTATTCCAGTTTTTACAGATTTCAAACATTTCTTTTTTAGCAGTAGACCCTTATCTTCAAAAGAAATCATACATTTCTAAAACTGGAATATGTAGAACTGCTCTGGTTATATGGAGAGAGAGGACTGGCAATCTGCTGTCTGCCCTTGCCTTCTGTGATGACCTGAATGAAGTGGAAAAACTACTGGCCTGGATGATCGTCAAGGGGAGAAATGAAGAGAGGAAAAACCTGAAAGGCAGAGGTTGAGTGAGTTCTATAAAATCACACAGCATGTGAAGGGCAGAGCTGGATCTCAAGATCTCCAGGCCAGTTCCATTACTGTGCCAGGCATTGAGCTAAAAACTTCGGAACCAAAGATGAACAGGACAAGCATCCCTGAGGATCCTTGGGAGAAAGGCCTGGAGATTAGCACACTGACCAATGTGTGACACTGTGCACTGCTTATTTTCTTAAACTCAGTGGCTTCACCCATTTGCCTTTCCTCTCTGGCCCCTGATGTATCTGAGTTTATGACTCTTGGGCCTGTGGGAGAGGCAGACTATATAAGGATAGTTACAAGCAACACACAGAATGGCATAGCATCTACTAGGTACACAAACAGAATTGTGGGAAGAATGGTTAACTTTGCTTGGGGATAGTGATGGAAAACTTCAGAGAAAAGATGATGACTGAAATATAGGTTACCAGACAGAAAAAGTACAGACACGGAAGTGTCTAACAGCAAGGTGCATTTCAGGAACTGTGACCCCTTTTTTCCTTACACTTCTGCACATACTTTTTACTTCCTATTGCCTCCTTACTGCCACTACCCTTCTCCAATCAACTTTCTTCAAAATCTCAGTTCCAGAGCAAATCTTAAAAGGAAAAAAATCTCTGTGGAGGAATGATGGGGGAAAAAGGAAGAGGATAGAACAGGGTGTATATGAATGGGCAAGTTCTAGGTCTTGAAACCCTGTGAACAACTCTGATGGCAGTAAAGCTTGTACAAAGTCCATTCTCCTTGTCTAGGGCTGTAGGGT